ATATTATATATATATATATATATATATATATATGATATATATAATATTATATATATATATATATATATATATATATATATATATATATATATATATATATATATATATATATATAAATATATATATAATTATATATATATAATATATACATATATATATATAATATATATATATATATATAATATATATATATATATATATATATATATATATATATATACTAAATATATATATATATATATATATATACATAACATAAAATAATAAAATCTGTTATTATTATTTTATGTTATGTATATATATATACATTCTGTATATATATATACATAATATTATACATAATATAATAAATACAGTTCTGTTATTATTATTTTATGTTATGTATATATATATACATAACATAAAATAATAATAACAGAAAATCTTATCAACTTTAAGTTGAGAATTCTCTAAAACCATAAATGCTTTTTATTTAAATTTTTTTAATTATTAAATTTGTTTACATTAGTTTCAACTTAATTGGGGCTTAATGGCTCTTTGGCAAGAGATCTACTTTCATAGCGGGTTGATGCCATCATTTCGCAGATTTTTCTTTTTTTCACCTTATTGGTGGCATTAATCCACTTTTTTTGGAAGTCCTTTTTTTTTTGTTACTTTATCTATCTTATGAAGAACTCCTTCAACTATTGGCAAAAAATCTTTAATCTTGTGTTCTTCAAGATGATTTGAAGGATTTGCATCTTTAGGAACAATTTTCACATTATTATCTTTGCACCACTGTAGAACTTTTTTAGAATAGTTATATGCAGCAAGATCTAGCCTAAAGAGACATCAGTATTTGTGTTTTTTCATAAATAGCAAAAGTCTTTTTTGACTTATAAAATGTAGACTGGCATTCAAGGTCTTCTTAGTGACAAAACAAGAGGATTGCATACCACAGCTATATATTGTTTGCCACACAAGAAACTTGGTTGCAAATTTATTTCATCAAATATATATTAAATTGATCATCGATAGGTTTATTTTTGTTCTCATAGAAAGTTTGTTGACCAGGAAGTTGTAAAAAATCCGTCTTGCAATATGTTTATCGTCTTCAATTATGCACATAGTTTTCTCCACCATTATTTTTACCAACTTCTTTGTGCCTTGCAAATTTCACCATTTAAGCTTCTCTTAAGTGTCTTTTTCTTATAAAATGCTTTAATTCCAGCATTTTTAAGTACTTTTTTAATATAAGAACGCAAAATCTTGAATTTTCTTGCTAGATTTCGCTGTGTGATTTGGATTTTTTGCTATTAAACATAAAATCAACTTTACCTTTTTGGATTTATGGAAAGTTTTCTTTCTTCCACTTCCAGGTTTTCTTTCCAAGTTTTGAGTAGTCTAACTTATTTTGACTGAAGATTTTGGGACATTTGTACGTTTAGCAATCAAGCAGTATGAAGTCAATGGATTTTTCCAAAAAAAATTCTCAACATTTTTACGCACATCAATTTGTTTCCTAAACATTTTGCAAATCATTGATTTGTAAACAAAGGTTTATCAACACAATTTAAGATAAGGAAGTAATGTTTAATTACAAAAATAAAAAAAAATAAAAAGCATTTGTAGTTTTAGAGAAATCTCACTTTGAAGTTGACCAGATTTTTCCGTGTCCAGCCGGTATATGTATATATATATATATATATATATATATATATATATATATATATATATATATATATATATATATATATATATATATATATATGTATATATACATATATATATGTATATATATATATATATATATATTTATGTATATATATATTTATGTATATATATATTTATGTATATATATATATATATATATATATATATATATATATATATATATATATATATATATATGTATACATATTATAAATAAATTGTTGTTATAAGCAATATTCTGTTGTACTAATTATTTTAGTTTTTTGCTGCACAAGACAAATTAACATTTTGGTCTACAGATTTGATGACAATTGTTGATATACTAACAATGCCTACAATATTTTTTCAGACTGTGTTTAATAATCAGTATTGGCTAGGTACTTGAATTATTATTATTTAATAATATTTTCCACTAAGTTTTCCTACCTTATAAATAAAAGTTTTGCCAATATTTCACAGTTTTACTCATAGTTTTGTTTTAATCATTGTTTTATTTTACTCATAAATTTTATAATCATGACCATTGTTTTTAATTTTTTTCACCATATTAACATTTTCTTTCTGACATAAACAATTTGTGCAGAATTTATTAGGTAAATTATGAATTTATCTATATTATTTCTTATTTTAACACTATTGCAATTATTTGAAAAAGATTCTAAATTTTTAATAGTTGTACTTATAAAAGTTTTATAACATGGCATAAATATTTATTTTTAAAAAGGCAATTTTTTAAAAAATGAATTGATGTTTAGGATTGCGCTTCTTGCGTCTCACTTATTTGTTGAAGCTGGGTGATATTTTACAGATTCTCAATGTTTTCAAAACTGGGTGGGTTTAAATTTGTTTGCATTTTTTTAAATTGACATTTTTTTGTTAGTGTTACTTAAGCTGTTTCTATTAATTTTACAAAACTTTTTTTAATGATTATCATTTACATAAATACACACTTTAGGTTTGCATTATTTCAGTATTTTTTAAATTTGTGCAATATTAAAATTTATTAACAAATTTAAGATGAAAATAAAGATAAGTAATTATTCAAACTAGTTTTTGAAGATTTTAAAATTAATTTTATCAAAACTGTTTTCTTTCACAAAAAAAAAAAAAAAAAAAAAAAAGCATTTTATCAATTATGCATTTTAACTTATAACTCTCTTACAAATGATTGGAAGAGTTTTCAAAATATTTGTTATTTATAATTATTTGTTTAACAAATTTTTTTGTTTCATCTGTGTTATTGAAATATTTCTTAAAAGTCATTTAATTCCGTAATGTTGTGTGATATTGGTTTTTTGTGTATAACTAAAGTTAATTTTTGAATACAAATGACCTTTTTTCTATTGTGAACTTTTTACCAGCTTTTGAGTTCTTATGTTTTAATGCAGCTTTTGGAATATCATGTCATGCAGGGAATAAAGTTTTTTGTTTAAAGGAGACTTAAGTGAAGTTTGTTGTAAACTTCACTTGTCTCCTTTGAAGTCCCACTTGGCTATTGATATCAAAAATGTTCTTGTGTCATTTACAACCCTTAGCTGAATTCCACTAATTAGCTGATAAATATTGAGAACTGTTTATTCTTAATTCAAATCAACATGAAGTAGCTTTATAGATCAGAGATAGATTCAGGTAGGGGGATGGGGATACGCATCCCCCCTACACCAGAATCTGAAAGTCCTAAAATATCTTGGAAGACCTTTTTTTTCTCTGGAGAAATGTGATACAAAATACAAAAATATATTAAAATAATCCCTCCAACCACCAAAAATTTCTAGATCTGTGACTGTTATAGATGCATAAATTTTAATCTGAAAAAGGAAGGAAAATGTTTGACCAGAAAAGACCTCTAACATCTCATATGCAATACTTTGTTGTTTTACATAAGTGTTTCAAAGAATCAATGGAAGTTATTTGCGCTTCACATAAGTGTTCCAAAGAATCAATAGAAAGTATTGGATTGATGAATAAATTCAGAAAAATGCATCTTTTTATCTCTTAAAACACCTAAACTATGTTTATTTTCTAGGCCAACTCCATTTATTATAGTGTAAATATAGACTAATTTAAAGACCTTTATTCAAGATTGCCATTATTCACAAGTAGCAGCCATATTTTTAACCTTTGAAACTCTGATTTTTAACCTAGATTAAACTGGAACTGTTACTTTGCAGAAACCAAAAAAAATAAATAAATAATCTGTAACAAATAATGTTTTAAATAATTAAATTTTTTCTTTTATAAATAAATTTAAATTTAATATCTTGCAAAGAAAGGCATTAAGAGGGTTGGGAGCTAAGTTGTTTAAAATACTTGTTATAATAAAATTGTGTTACACACAGTGAAATAAAGTTGTTACACATAGTGTAACAACTTTATTTCACTGTGTGTATATATAAGAGGCACTATTTGTAACACTATTGTGTTACAAATAGTGCCTCTTTGCAATATTTTTTACCAGTGCTTATTTTTCAAAGAGTGGATTTCTAGAGATTATGGTGTCAGAACCCTTTTAAGGATCTCTCACATTAAAGGCTGAAAGTATGAGGCTGAGGTAAACACTTTCTTGATGTTGTAATAAAATGTTTTCACAATGGTTACATAAAATATATTGTGAACTTATTGTGAAATAGTTTCGTTTCTTTTTATATAATTTGAACTTGAAAATATGGTTTACTAGAATATTGCCCATAATCACGATAAGATATCTAAAATTTTAATTTAAAATACTTATAATGGGAATTATGAATTGTGTCTACTATATATCTATAAATAGTTAATTAAATTAATTCTTGTTAGAGCCTACAAGTTTGGTTGTTCTGTTTTTTTTGTTGTTTTTTTTTAATTTTAATTCATCTCCGTCTGTAGTGGCCATGAAGGCCACTACAGGCGAGGAGGCTACTTATTTGTGGCTATAACCCTCTCTCAACTCAAAACACGAGCCTTGACGAACAAGGCCGCTGGGCAGAGAAACGAGTTGAGTGCGGTACTACCAGGGGCGTGGTGGGGATCGAACTCGGAACCACTCGTTTATGAAGCGAGCTCTCTACCACTACACCACTACCGCATTATTATTGTTCACTACCGCACTGTTGTTATTTGGTTTTTTTAGGTTATTTTATGATTTATTAGTAAAAAACTCTGTTTACATTAATTTAAGTTGCAAATAAATATGAAATAAAAAATGCCCTAGATTTAAAAACAACTTTTACTGAAAATTTGTCTTGTACATAAAGCCTAGACGAGCGTGTGCACAAAACACTTCTATTTTTTTAATAATTTTATTTCTAGTTATTTCTATTTTCTAGTGCATTTTATTTTTTGAATCACAAATTAATTTTAAAAAATGGCATAGCTTGTTCTTAAAAAAATATTTTACCAGTTTTTAAGCATTTCTTGAGTTTTTATGCAATACTTTTCTTAAAAAAGAAATAAATTAAGTAATGTGAAATTATTCTTGAAAGTTATTAAAACTCTATCTTAACACTGTTTTTATTTAATCAAAATCTACAGTTTATTTTGTGTTTTTTTTTTTTCTTTACTTTATTTTATGGTTTTTTAATAATAAATAATGAATTCTATTGCTTAGGTCGTCTTTTGAAATGATTGGACTGGTTGGTACATTTCTTACTGTTTGGCTGACATCTGCAGGAGTAGTACATTTGGTGAGCTAATAATTTCCAACTTTATTGTTAAAATATTTTTTTGATAACATTTTTTATATTGGGATTTAAGTACAGGTACAGATAATATTTTTTATATTTATATACAGCATTTTTTGTATTCATTAAATATGTATACAAAAAGTTTTGTATATTAAAAAATTGTATGCATAAAAGTATTTTTTTTTTTTTTCATTTATACATATTATTCATATAAAACAAATATAGAAATATACAAATGTAGATATGAAATACATGATATGTGTGCTATCAATGTTAAAAATTTTAACATTTAAATTTAACATTAGATTTATTATTTAGTCAATAATAAATTCCTGGGATTTCCTACATATAAAAAGATTAATTTTATTAATTTTAAAAATAATTTATTTTTGCTTTTAAAAGCTAATAAAGAGTTTAACTGTGATTACAAAAGTTTTTTTTTATTTTATGCTGTATCAGCAAAAATATTATGCTGCAAAGCAAAAAAGAATTGTATGAAAATGCTGTTAGGGAGTAAAATAACTTATAGTTTATAAAAAATTGTAACTATAAATATTTTTTATAAATTTATATTTAAACAATCTATTTTACTAAAAGTAAAAGAAATCAAATATTAATAAATATATGTGGTAGTGGTGTAGTGGTTAAATGCTCGCTTCATAACCGGAAGGTTCCGAGTTTGATCCCCACCACGTCTCTGGTAGCACTGTGCTCAACTTGTTTCTCTGCACAGCAACCTTGTTCATCAAGGTTTGTGTTTCGGAGTTATAGAGTTGAGATATGGTTATAACCACTATTAAGTAGCCTCCTCATATGTAATGGCCTTCTTGGCCTTGAGGAGGGGAATAACAAAGAAAAAAAATAAAAAATTATCATAAATGACATTAAAGCAAATAAGATGTAATAAGGAATTATATATGCAATTTTTCACAATTGCTTTTCAAATTTTACTTGATTACATGTTACCAGTAACCAACCAGTTACCACTAGCAATGTTTATAATGCTTATAAAGGTTAGGATTAATGAGGTAATTAAAGATATAGATACTTGAGTAAGTATTTTCACCTTTAAGTGAAGATTCTAGTTTTGAATAGACCAACAAGATCAGTAGATATCTAAAGATCAGTAAATATCTAAAAATCAAAAGCATGATAAGGTACTTGCTTATATTTAAATATTTTAGATTGAAAATA